TGTGTGTGTGTGTGTGTGTGTGTGTGTGTGTGTGTGTGTGTGTGTGTGTGTGTGTGTGTGTGTGTGCAAAACTGTCCGCGTTTGCGCTCTGGCACACCACTGATGCGAGCACTACTTTGCTTGCACATGTCGTACTGCTCCCATTCCAATACAGGCATCATTTCGGACGAAATATGGTGCATGCTAGAGCCGAGGAACATGTGTGACAGAGGTATGCTGATGGATTTGATGCGAATGCACACATAATCGCAATCGCAATCAAGCACACACACACACACATTATCACAACCTCACAATCACACACGCATACACACACACGCTTAATCACACACTCGCACAATCACACACTCGCGCACTCACACAATCACACAATCGCCATCACAATGGCAATCAAGCTCACACACGCACATGTACGCACCATCATCCACAAGAAGACGACGAGGGAGGTCTTGTAGCGGGCAGCGGGAAAGACGAGAAGAACGCCAAGGTAGAAGACCGTAAGACTGTCAAGCAGCGTCTGGTTCGGTACCGTTGTGCTCACAAACACAAGGAACAGCGACACTTTGTCTACAAGCAGATGACGATGATGATTGTTTGGATTGTCGAGGTGGAGTTGGGGGTTGGGGTTTCCAACATGGCACGTGCGTGAGCGGGCGTGGTGATGGATGCACATGTACGCAGGCATGCTTGCAAGCACCCACAATCGCAGAGGAGCAGGGATGGCGTGCGCCTGTGAAGTTACACATGTATTCAGGACATTCAAACCCCTCTCCGTTCAAACATGTCTGCGTGTTTACCGATGGCGAAGACGAGGGCGCGGTGCACGAGTTTGCGCAGTCGGAGGAACATTCGCCAGGACGCGCGGTCGCGCGGAAACGGCTGTGGTGGTGGTGGTGGTGGTGGTGGTGGTGGTGGTGGTGGTGGTAGTGGCGGTGAATGGGAGGTATGAGGAATTGTGGTGGTGTTGTGGATTGTGGCGGGTGACCATGTTGCATTGAAGTCGTACACGCAAAGAAAGACGTCGGTGGCGCAACACACCTCTGAGGGCGCTTTGTCGAGGCGGAGAAGGCGAAGATAGATGGCACTCACGACAAGCACAAACGACGCGGGGGCCTGCCATTGTGGATTGCGGTGATGGAAGCGATAACAGTGGGGATGGCAGAGTCATGAGGAGCGGAAGTGAGACGGAAAGGATGCCCATGTGCACACACACACACGCACACACACGCACACATACACACACGCACGCACACGCACGCACACATGCACACGCATACACACGCACACACGCACACACGCACCCACCACGTATGTGAAGCGGGCGGTGAGGGAGGAGGTGGTGTGCAGACCAATGTCGTCCAGCCAGTTGGTGGACAAGTTGTCCTCAAACGCCGTCTGTACGCCATCAAACTGGTAAATGTACTTGGCCACCATAATGACGGCAGAGTAGATGGTGGTGAGGTACCACGACGCCGCGTGGATGAGAGTGGAGGTGGTGGACACCGAGTTGAGGCAGAAGAACGCCACGTAACCGAGCTTGATCAGCGTCACGCCCGTGCCCAGCATACCGGAGAGAATGAGTACAAGCAGCACGAAGAGCCCCCACGCCGTGCTGACAACCCGCACAGCCTGTGGGCGGAGACGCACGGTGAACCGGCTGAACACGCGCTCATGCTGGTGCCAATACTCGTACACGTGCTGCTGCACCACGCACAGCGCCAGGATGAAGATGTTGAAGGAGGAGTGACGATAGAACGACTCATGGGAGTTCTCATCAAGGCCAATCAGCAGTGCTGTGTCCTCATTTCCGCCACGCACAAAGTAGAATCCCCACAGGTATTGCAGGAGCACCACCATGCACGCATACAGCAGCAGCACAAGCCAGTACCGCCTGTGTATGCAATGTGTGTATGCAGTGTGTATGTGTGTGTAAATTGGTGTGTTTGCGCATGAGTGTGTGTGCGCACGTGAGAGAGTGTGTGCGCATGTGAGAGTGTGTGTGTTGCGATGCGTGTGAACGTGCGGTTGTGTGTGTGTGTGTTTGTGTGTGTGTGTGTGTTGTGTGAGTTGTGTGTGTGTGTGTGTGCGCGCGTGTGTGAGTAACTTTGCACATGTTCTTGCACTGATCGATGAACGCACCGCGCCCATTCTCCGATGGTGACAAACGCGATGGCAAACACGAGGTAGAGGGCGTTGACAATCGTGACTTCGCCCAGCGCCGCAACGTAGATCAGAATCAACACAATGATGTAGATGTGGCTGCGGTACAGGTGAAGGTTGCATCAACAAAGGCAACAGGGTGACATTCGTGTGAGAGTTGTGTGATGCTTGGGAAGGGAGATGGCAAGAGCATCATCATCCAGCAAGACGAACGCAGCAGCAAAGTACATCCACAATACCGACACACGCACGTGTGCCTCACCTGACGATTGAGACTGCGAGCCAACCGAGGATGGGGCGCTTGTAAAGCGCGCGATCAATACGGGACGCTGCGCGCACA